CCCCAAGAGATACTTTTTAAATCTCCTTGGTAATTTAAGGTAGATCGTATGAGCTCCAAAGAAAACCCTTACCTTTTCTAGGCTGGCCAGGCCAAGTTGTAGGATGTGGAGCAAAGGAGTCCTAATACCTTTGTGATATTTCTATATGTCACTTACGTCAAATACACAGCCTGAGATCCTCACTGAAATCTGGTGTGAACAGCCAGCCTAGAGCATTTTTGTTTCTCTGTTTTAGAAGGGGTGGTGTAGCCCTTATTATTTACTTTATAGTGATTTTGTTATGATGGAATTATGATGGAATATGTACAGAAGAGTATTTGCCAGTCACATTAGGGTAGCTGCATCTACTTTTGATTTCTTGGATTTTTTAAAAAATGTTTTTTATTTATTTCTGAGAGAGAGACAGCATGATCAGGGGAGGGTCAGAGAGAGAGGGAGATACAGAATCTGAAACAGGCTCCAGGCTCTGACCTAGCTGTCAGCACAGAGCTCGACGCGTGGCTTGAACCCACGAACCGTGAGATCATGACCTGAGCCGAAGTCAGACGCTTAACTGACTGAGCCACCCAGGCGCCCTTGATTTCTTGGATTTTTTTTTTTAAGTTTATTTATTTTGAGAGAGAAAGCACAGGAGGGGCAGAGAGAGAGGGTGTGAGAGAGAATCTGAAGCACTGATAGTGCAGAGCCTGATGTGGGGCTTGAACTCATGAATCATGAGATCATGACCTGAGCTGAAACCAAACGTCAGATGCTTAACTGACTGAGCCACCCAGGCACCCCTTGGATTTTTTTATTTCAAGGATGTTCAGCTGTTTTAATCTCTGGAGACGGGAATATTTTAAATGCAACTAATTTGGTTCATGTTTTCCAGCTCTACTTACTTTACAATTGTGTTCCAAGCATGTCTTCAGAAATGTAACAGCTTTTCTTGTGTGCTCTTGTTCAATCTCATAATAGGTATAGCAGAGCAAGACTATGTTCTAATGGTCCCTGACATGTTTATTGGCAATAACTCCCAATCCATATGATATTGTATGGTGGGATTCATTTACCTCACAATGTATTATTCACAGGCTTTATGAGGGGAGAAAGGCAGAAAAATATATTAGATTTGTAAATACCTATTGTATACGTTATTCTGGTATAAACAAAAATAATGTACCCAAGAAATGCTAGAGCTTTTGAAAAGCACCAGAATGAGATCAAACCTTGTTTAAAATTATTTTGAATCCAAAAAGAACTCTTTGAATATAGAAAGTATCGAGGAAATCATGATCTTTTTCCCATAATTGTTTGATAAGAAGTGCCATGTGAGGCATACAATGGCACCAAGCCGAAAGGATCTGGGTGAATCTATAGTCCTGCCCAGATCCAAGATGTGTGGTCTGGCTGGATTCCCTTCAAAAATCATATTGACCTTTCAATGGTTCATACTCCCTGCTTTGTACTTGACAGCTAGAAGACAAGAATTATCCCCAAATGCTCCATGAGTCATAAAGTCATAGTCTTGGATTTTAGATCTGGGTTTATCTCTGATGGACATTCCCTTTTTCATTATGGCAAGAGTACAGTTATGAATTCCAAAACTTGCTATCTTTGTCACATGCTTGTTGTAAACCACTTGGAACATTTTAATATTCCCACATAGCACCTAAGTGCTGTTCTCTTGGTGCGCCATTTGAACAATTCAATGTCATAAGGGCTAAGTCAATATTTAAAAAAAAAAAAAACTCCTCCTTATTCTTTTTGACTTCATTTTGAATACTAGGTCATTCTGGAAGCATTCCCCGGCCTCCTAAGTTGTGTCAAATCTATACTTTTCTATAATAATTTTCATCACAGTGTATCGTAGACCGTTGTTTAATCACTGCAGCTCTTTCTGGTCTATCCTGTAGCCTGGAATATTCACCATTTCATCTCCACACCCTCCTCCAGGGCCTGGCATATAACTGGTGATTGTTCTTCATGGAACAAGCAAGCAAGACATTGCTTTTGTCATTGACTATTCTTAAAAGCTCTTTAATAAATTTCATTCATGCCCTATACATTCCAGGGAAGTATAGAGGTGGTCCTGAAATCTCTAGAGCCCTGCACATGGTCTCTCATCTACCTCCATCATCTTGGCCTCCTTCCTTTCCTCTTTAAGAACAAAGTGCACAAATTTTTAAAAAAACTTGGCTTTACTTTTACTAGCTATGTGGCCTTGAATCAGTTACTTCATCTTTTCATCCAAAAATCACCAAATGAAATTAGAACCATGGCACTTAGTATCACAGTTTTGGGGATGATTAAATGGAAATGTGTATGTAAAAATCTTGCCCAGGATAGATATTCAATAGATGTTACTTCTCACTGAGGATAAACAAAGGGCCTTAAAAGAAAAAAAGAGAAAGAAGTCATATCTTAGACTCATCATTATGTAATGGCTCATGTCCCAGAAAACTGGATACGGGAGCTAGCTGGGTTCAGGACTCTTGCTGTGTGCTGAAATAAGCCCACCAGATACTACTGCTCTGCTCTAACGGTAGGAAATCTCAGGAAAAGAAGTCATCTGTCCGCTCCCCACCTCACTAGCAAAGAACAACTCTACTTTAGTGTCCACAAATGCACCAAACACTAGAGTCGGACCATTGCAGCATGTAGGCAGGTGCAGGTCTGGTGTAGAACTGCTGGGGTCCAGCTAGCTAGGGGGGTTAAATCCTTCCACATCTTGGTTCTCCACCTGCAAAATGGGGTTAAGATGGCACCACTTCAGGTGGCTATTGTGAAGATGAAGTAAATTATAGAGGTGTGTGTTTGGGATGATACCTGGCACATAGTAAAGACTCACTAAAGATTAGCTTTTAAAAAATAAAGTATATCATGGGGCACCTGCGTGGCTCAGTAGGCTAAGTTCCCGACTCTTGATTTTGGCTCAGGTGATGAGGTCATGGTTTGTGAGTTCAAGCCCTGCCCTGCATTCTGTTCTGACAGCACAGAGCCTGCTTTGGATTCCCTCTCTCTCTCTCTCTCTCTCTCTCTCTCTCTCTCTCAAATGTAAATAAATAAACTTAAAAAAAAACAAAGTATATCATAAAACTTTAGTCTCTGATTTCCAGTGGGCAATTTATTTTTCAAAGTTCTCAAGTATTCACCAATGGAAAAGGCAAACTACCTTCCTAGTCAATGAAGTCTAAAACTGGTTTTGGTCACAAAGCTAAATCACTGAACATGGAGTGTGTAATGATGAGTGCCAGCTGGGAACAGTGAAGTTTGGTTTTGGTCACTGAATACAGAAGGCGTCACGAGGACAGACAGTGATGCATCCCTACCGCTAATGATCAAATACAACTTTTAATGACAAAAATCTTATTGGTAGCTCTGAAAAATAAACTTGCTCAAATCAATACTATGTGTATTCCCCAAGAGCACAACTATCTTACCTTTACATGTGGTTGAAAATAGTTAAGGAATATTCTTTCCTGCTTTTAAATAATATTGACTGCTAAACCACCTTCCCAGTCCCATTTTGTTCTTTTAAGTACTTTTATGTACTATTGAATTAGTAATGCTGTGTGGGTTGATAAATCTTTTAAAATTGACATTGGTCTCTCTTCCGCAAGGGACCAGAGAATGGAACAGTCTGTCACCTTTAATAAACAATTCTTAGACGATTTCTCTCTCACATAGCTATGAGAGAGAATAGTCTCATGTCCGGAAATTATGTAAGAATAGACAATGGTCTTTCTCAACATTAGAAATGTTATATTGAGTTTTCTGGACTAAAGTGTAGTGTTCTCTACATGCAAATCTAATTGATGATAGAGATGAGAGATCGCAAGGTCACAATTCTGTGCCTACCAGCATTCCCAGTATGTGCACTCGACAGCCTTCTCTCCTTCTCACCCAAATCTCCCCCTTTAGAATTCTGGGCGCCTGATAAATTAACACAGACCATACCCCTCTCTTTGGAGGAAGAGAGCACTGAACATGAGTGAACTACAGATTGTCTTTGAGGAAAGTGTCCATATCTATAGGATTCCAATCATAACAGCCATTATTAAACTTTCTGAGAACCCTCCAAAACTTCCCCTTTGTGCTATGAGTTTGGACAGATGGGTAGGAGCTGATGGCCAGGTGAGCCCTACCTTCTATTGCATAGGCAGTGCCTGTGGAATAAGTGACGGCACAGAGATGAAGGGTATTTCCTATCTTTGTCTCATGTAAGTGTGATTGATCCTGTAAGATCTCTACAGTACACAATACACTTAAGATATTAAGAAAAAGGTGATTTTCTGCGGGTTGCCAAGATTTTAAAATTTAAATGTCCACTAAACGAAAATGCGACGATTCACTTTTCCCAAACAGAATGTGCTACAAATATGTGCCTCAAAATAAAGTAAAATAACAAATCCTATATATGTGTTGCTTTTCAATTAGTTAACTTAATCACAAATTTCTTTTTGTCTTAGTGCCTATTAACATCACTTTATCTTCTTTCAATCTCTATAAATTGCCACCACTATGGGTGGAAGTCTTTTCCCTATGAGTGTAAATGCTCCTTCTTCTCCAAATGTCAATTTTTTTTTTTTGAAAAATGATTTCTGAGCACTTCCAGTGTACCTGGCCCTGAGTAACATAATACTAAATAGAATCAAGTTTCAGCACAGGTGTGGCACTCAGGCTTGGAGGGGTTATAAAATATTTATGATGTAATTTGAATGTGGCCATTCTCTGCTGCTCATAATCAATTATTCAATAACTCATTGACTTATATATGCATAAAATTCTCATTTTGCACATGTAACATGCTAGGTACTTACATAAAATGTCTACAAAGTAGGCATTGTTAGGTTTCTGCAAATCACAATTTAGAAACTACTACATAGCCATGCAAAATAAAATATGCCTATTGTATTACTCTTTAAAATTTTCACTGAGAGAGTAACTAATGAAGAAACTAAGTCATATTTGCAAAGTGCCTGTTTTCACCACTTTGACCTAGAAAAAAAAGTACTTACAGATTTAGTATTCCCTTCAATAACTTCTTCTTCCCGTGGTTCAAGTTTGAGATCCTTTAAAGAAAGAAATGGGGAAAGAAGGGGCCAGATATTAGTTAAAGAAAAATACCATATACTTGAATGGTAACCCTTTTATAGCTAACATTGTGGCAAAAGAAGCTCATTATCTGAAAGGATATGGAATCATTCTGATTTTAAAAATGAAGCTTTTCCAGTAAAGACTCTTTTACCCATTTATCAATGGTAACAAGCCATTTCAGTGTGTTCAATTTGTTATTACTTTAAGTTTACTGATGCATTAAAAGAGAACAAAATGGAGAGGCGATTCACCAAAACAGGGAAATGGTAGAACAGTAAAAAAAAAAAAAAAAAAAAGGAAAAAAATGAGTAGACGGATTTCTTTTGCTGTTCGTATTGATCACCACTCTTCTAGGGAGAACACGATGGACATTAGCGCAACTGCTATAATATATTCACACTCTAGTGAGGTTTTACTTTACTAAAACATGAATTCAAAAGCAAATGAAATCACTATTGAGATTTTCTAAAAATGAAGGGCTGTTAAAAAGATCCTAGAATTTTTACCGTGTTCAGTGGATGATGCTAGTGTCTCTAGTGAAACCAAGCATGTAACCTCTGAGGACTTCATTCTAAGAATATATATTCTACCATTGGTGGTGAGGATTATACACAATAATTCCTTCAAATAGATAAGAAATCCTTTGAAATCTGTAGAAATCTAGACGGTCTGATAGAACACAAGCCTGTTAAAATCAGAGCTATGTTGCTTTAGCTCTGCTACTCTCTTGCAGTAAAACCTTCAACATGTTATTTAACTTATCTAGCGTTCACCTTTTTAAAATGTTTTTTATTTTATTTTTGAAAGAGAGACAGGGCATGAGCAAGGGAGGGGCAGAAAGAGAGAGGGAGACACAGAATCCGAAGCAGGCTCCAGGCTCTGAGCTATCAGCACAGAGCCCAACACGGGGCTCAAACTCATGAACCGTAACATCATGACTTGAGCCAAAGTTGGTGCTCAACCGACTGAGCCACCCAGGTACCCCATGTAGGGTTTACTGTTTCCTCTGCTTAAATTCTCTTTCCCTAGGGCTTCATCTAGCTGGCTCCTTATCCTTTCTCATACCTCAACTCAAATATCACTGTCGTAGGGCAACCTTCCTGGATCACCCACTTAGGTATCCAACCCCTCATATCCACCATATTGCCTTAGTTTGTCCTCAGAGTACTTTTCACTCTCTGAAATTACCTTGTTTCATTTATTTGTTTACTGATTTTTATCTGTTTTTATTGGACCAAGAACCTTACCTGTTTGGATCACTGCTGCATTTCCACTGCCAGAATAATACCTGGCATAAAGTAGATGCTTAACAAACAGTTGAATAAAGGAATGGCTGAATGAACGCCCCATTTAAATCATAGCTTTTCTATGAGGGCGACGTGATGCAATGCATATGGATGTGAACTGAATCTTAAAGACAGAAACTGGAACAGCAATGGTGTCCTTGACCACTCTTTCCCTAACACCTACTCAGGCACACTTTTCATTTCCACTTTCTTTGACCTAAGATGAGAACAGCTTAAAAGACGCTGTATGCATGCAACATCCTTAGCTGTACTCCTTCAAATGAGGCTGTCCTGTGATCTGATGATATACTTAGGGCTTCATGAAGACTGAACAGGTTTTGATTTGAACAGATAACATAAATATGTTTTCTGCAGAGTGTGAGCAAAATACAAAATACAGTCTCAATATATCCCCATATATCCTCATAGAGGCTGAAATGGAAAGACTGCCTGAAGGTATCTGTAGAGATTGCAAATATTATCTTCCCCCCTCACATGAATGGCCCTGGGCTTGGTTTCCGGTGCAGGAAGGATTTATCACACTAAGTGGAGAGAAAAGAGAACACGTGTTCCACTGCAGGCACACTTCCTCTTAACGGGGAGATCAAACCTAGTGCCAAAGACAGCAGGAGACGAGAGAGTCAGCTGTGAAATGACATGCACTTAGCTACTGTTTGGCAATTGGGTAGTTTTTCCTCTAAAAGCCTAATTCGCAGTACAGAATAAGTTGTAGAAGCAAACGGAACTTGAACTTGCACTGCCTCTCCATTCATTAGGACAGGTCCTGCTGAGCCACGCACAGCTGGAACCCAATGCTGAAGACCATCACATCACACTTTCAGCAAATCTCTCAGACATTGTCCTCAAAATGAAACTCTTTCATAGAAAGGGAGGAAGAAAAAGTCTAGGAAAGAAAGAGATGTGATAACACTTTGATTTAAAGTTGGAAAAAAGGCATGACCTAAGTTTAAGCTATTCCTTTAAAAATAGCTATATAAAGTTAAGAAACCAAATAAAGACAGGTTTGCCAAGCATCTCAAAGCAATTTGAAAAGGAGGTTTTTGTGTTCTTTAAATGAATCTAAATTTATGTAACAATAGACCATGTTTTAACAAGATCTGCTTTCCAAATAGAGGTCATGGATTTCCAGGCCTTCCATGACTGGAAAACTAATTTTCATATGAATATTTTTAGTCTCAGTTCACCTATCAATTCATAAAATAGGAAGGAAGAAAGCTGAATTGCTGCAAACCGTTAAGTTTAGGTTATTTGCCTAGGAAGTGGCCAATGTAAATGTAACAAATGATGACATGGTGTCACAGCGACTGGCATTCTCCAAGGTTGCTTTCCCTGGACTTGATTACTTGTACGGAACCTCCTTTTCAGAGATCTTACTCCACCTCAGGACTTGGAAGTTTCATCTTTGTGGGGATGGTTCTTAAAAACCTAAACCATTGGCCTGACTTCTTACCTACTGACATCTAACTGAACATTTCAGCCTAAATATCCTATTAGATCTTGGGATTAACACATCTAATAAACCAGTTCACCTCCTCACCTCACCTGACACATTATCTCTCACTTGTCTCCCCCTTTCTGTTAATGGCACGATCGACTGAGACACTCAGGCTTAAATTCTCAGACTCCTCTTTGAGATTCCTCCGTCCTTTACCCATCATACCCATCATAACCCATCCTGTTAATTTCACTTTAAGTCTTTTAGTCTGTCATTTTCTTTTCAGTCATATAATACAGGCCCATCTCTTGTCATACCTAATCCCAGCAGGCTCAGATCTACAACCTGCTCATTAATGTCATTGCTTGAGCTGGCTTTGGTGGCTCTGACTTTGAATTTTCCTGTTTAAACCCAGTTTGTATGCTTGCTGTCCAATTTTCTATCTAAAAGATCTCTTTGGTTATATCACTTACCTGTTGAAAAATAACAAATGTCTCCTGTTGTCTCAAGACCAAGTCCGAATCCCTTTTCCTGTTATTTAATGCCACCCATAATATGGCCCCCATCCATCCACACAATCTTATTTGTTATCATTTTCCCGAATGAAAGACTAAGCTGGTCTATTTAAGCTTTACTCATGTTATCACCCTTACGTGAATATCCTCTCTAGCTGCTCTCTTCTTACTAAAATTTTACCGCTCCATTGCAAATATCTGCTTGTTAGCAGGCCAGCATTTATTCCAATTTTAGTAACAATACATTTTACTTTCAGGGAAGTCTCTCCTCTCCTTTAAATACAGTGCTCTGGGACTGTTAATCAAGATGTTCTCCTCCTTCGTCAGTTAACAAGCTACTTTCTAGAGGTTGGGAATGTAATTTTGTCTTTTAGCATATCACACAACCATTTCCCTGAGTCACTCTGAAACATTCCCAAGACATTATCCAGGTCGTCCCTAACAGCTACCACTTGCATCATTCAAGCACCCTGCTACTTATGGCACTGATAACTCAAGAGTTGAACAATGCAGGACATTTATTTAACTTGCAACTCTACATATTGTACATATGACTAGGGGGTAGGGGTGGGTGGCCTAAGAATTAACGTGAGTTTGTCTATTTGCTTTAACAGAAAGGGCCAGATAACTACCAAGCAGCCATCTGTAGCCATCACAGAGCTCCTGGCTATTATTCTATCTGTGGGACAGCCATGGATATATTAATACAACGAGGAAAATGAGTCAGAATGTACTGATAAGGGAGAGGGAGAAGAAAGAAAAGGAAGCACCCACCTTCTTTTCCAGTCGATCAATTAATTTCTGGAGTCTATTGATCTGGGTCATCCACTGGTTGTCTTCTTCTAATGAGCCTTGAGGGGAAATCATGAGGGCAATATATTAAACAGAGCAGGAATTTGGCATCTCAGAACTTTCCTTTAACCCTGAAGGAAGCACACAGTGTCACTGACTAGTCAGCACCCTTTTAAGAAATGTATTCACGTGAGTGCTCTCTAAGTTATTGATTTCCATAGGTCTAGGCATCCCAGGGGGCTCATTCTCACAAGCCTGTGATTTTTATGTTGTTGCCTGTACTGACCTTCGACAGTCAAAGAACAGATCCTGCTGAGACATTTTTACCACCCAGTGAGACGGCTGATTTTTCTCTTGAAAAAGGAAAGCTTCAGTCAATAATTCTAAACTTACTTCCACAACAGTGGCAGGAGCCAGGGAAATAACAGCCTTGAGCGCAGCCAGGTAGCTGCTGTCTCCTTTCCTAGGGACTAACCCAAGTAAACATGGACACTATGGTCATGGCATAACAGTTAAGAGTGCAGACTCTGGAACCTGAAGATCAAGGTCAAATTACTTGGCTCCTCTGGCCTTCGCTTCTTTGCTTTTAAAATGGTCATAATATCACCAGTAGCCACATAGTCACTGTGAGGAATAAATTTGAATAAATTAGAATATATATGTATATATATACACACATATGCATGTATATACGTAGCATACGTATGTCTGTATGGGCATATACATAAACACATATCTATAGTCTAGCACCAGGTCAAACACTACATAAGTTCTGCTTTTATAATTGCTGTTAATTATGTTTTTTAAAATAAATTGCTTTTATTATTGTTTTTTCAAGCTCTACACCCAACATGGGGCTTGACTTCGTGACCTGGAGATTATTCAAAGGTGCAGAGGGAAGAGCTGTAGTCTGAGACCCTGCACAAACATCCTGGCATCCTTCTGTATCCTTATGGCAGCCTGTGCAAAATGACTTCATAGGCATTTGTTGAGATAATAGTATTGAATATTTCTTGATGGGAGAATGTAATTGAATTCAAACCATAAAACCCTGTTTTAGCTTTGAAAGTTAGAAAGATAAGATCAAAATTATAAAGAGGTAGTACTTTACATTAGAATTCACTTCACTCTCTGCATTCTTAGGTAAAACTCTCAAAGCCTATCGCAGAAATTATGACGCAAAACTAAGTCAGAACACAGTCACACAGAAGTGGCCGCAAAAATCAAAATAAGGGGCCTTATAACAGAAAACATTGTAACTATATAAACAAAATGTATGTTTATTTTCAGTTTAGGAATTAGTTAACATATTCCATTCTGGGTTGTTCCTAAAAGAATTTAAGGTGGCTGTCACATCAAAATTCCTCAGAAGGATATTTCGCGTTTTGCTGTGTTTTCTAAATGGTTAAAGCATGAAGAACAATCCATATTTTGACTCAGGAGCTTAGTACTGTCATTTTCTAGTCAATACACGGTAGCCTGTACCACTATTCCTAATTTTTCCACTTTCTTCCTGTTACGGAATTATATGTATACAACCTTTGCCCCTCAACTTTGCAGCACCTCCTACCACAATGGATGGAGTACATCCCCCTTCCCACTATTTCTGGGTTTGGCATGTGACTCATTGGGCCAATGGAGAGCTGGCAGATAAGATGCACACAGTGGTTTAACTGAGCTGTGTGGTTTTGGCCTGGTGACTTATGCTTCTGACACCCACCAGGAGAAGAATTTGCTCCAAGTAGTCACTGATCCCAGGAGGCTACTTGAGGAGCAGAGCTGAAGCCAACCTAGAGGCTAGGGAGCACACATCACCCAAATCACAATCAATTACAGACCCATGAGTGAAAAAGACAAATATTTGCAATTGTAAACACTGAGATTCTGAGGTTGTTTCTGAGCAAAAGTGGTCTAATGAATCATATGACCTTGAACAAACTGCTGCACTTCTGGGGAAATAAAGATACTAACATCTATCTCATAAGGTATTAGAATTTAAGACAGTGTTCAAGAAAGCACTTTGAAACCTTCCAAGTACAGTATGTATAAATATAGGCTAGAGTTAGTACTTTGATTTTGTGAAATATGAGATATTTAAACGTTAATTGTGTTAAAATGGTATGTCCAAGTGAGGTTTATATAATCACTTATATAATTCTAGTTATATAATCTAGTTATATAATTCTAGAAATTACTGTGATATTTTATAACACGAATTTGTATATTTCAAATGAATTTTAAAGTAGTTATTATAAATGACCTGATTAAAATATAATGACCTAAAATTATTAATAAGGTTTTAGTCCAGGGGTGCCTGGACACTCAACTGAGTGTTAGACTTCAGCTCAGGGCATGATCTCACAGTTCGTGACAGCTTGCCGCTGTCACTGCAGAGCCTGCTTTATATCCTCTGTCCCTCTCTCCCTGCTCCGGCCCCACTTGCTCACTCTCTCTCTCTTGAAAATAAATATTAAAAATACTTTTAAAAGTAAGGTTTCAGCCCAATAAATGTTATATTATAGTATACACTTCAAAAATGCCAGCTATGACTATAATCCCATCATGAAAGGAAATAAGGATCCTTTTCCTGAAACAGACTGTGTATGATTAGGCAGGCTTGAGGGGATAGGAGCAAATCAGGGTAAAGGGTGCTTCCTTCCTTGAGAATGATGGGAATTTCTACAGGTCTCAAGGTCCCATCATCCCTCTGTGCACTGCGAAGCGCGGTTGTGGGATTCTCAAGGAAACAATGGGGTGGATCTTCACCTAGTTCTTACCATAGGCTCCTTGCCACTGTGGTTTCAGACAAACTTATCTGGTATAAGGAAAGCATTTCATTACTACTGCTGTTTTATTTGCTTAAAAATATAAATGTGAAAATAAAACCTGAGTCAGTTTTGGAAGAAGAAAAATGGCAAAGCTGCATTACCTGAGCCACAGGCACTGAACTGGGGGCTTTTCGGGGAGAAGCTGTTGTGTCTCTGGACTCGGCGATTTGATCGCTTTCCAGGCCACTGGATCAACAGGACTTCTGGCTTGGTCGGCCCTCGCCTTGAACAACAGAGACAACATTTAACCTTAGCGTCAGGCTCTTGCCCCAAGAAACAGATCTTCAACCATCAGTCACAAAGATGCTGTGGTGCAGCGAAATGAAAAGTTAGGAGAATTGCTGCTTGCCAACGTGTGCTGGAGACTCAGATGATTCGGTTTTGTAAATGTGAACCTACAGGAGAGACTTGGAGCTGGCTTTATTCTTTGACAGTTTGAGTAAAAATCCTATCTTAATTTGTAATCTAAGAAAAACTTTCTTCTTGGCCAAACCATCAAAGGAAAAGCTGTTTCTGTATGTGCTGATGTGTTGTGTTTGAGAACACCCATGGAGGTTTTTCCTTCTTTCAGTCAGTGTTAAATTTTAAAAATCAAGGCTATGTATCCATATACTTTTAACAATCAAATAATTCTATAAAGCTTATTTTAACAAATAGGAGCTCCTACTCACCCACCTGCACACCATTCCCCATTCCTCTTGTACAGAGGGAATGCTTACAACAAGTGGTTATTTGGATGTTTATCCTCATATCTATGTATAATATGCTTAAATTACTATCCCTCCATTCTTTAGATTTTAAATGTATCTATTAACTTCCCAAAAGGAAATGATCAGGACAATGATATATACAAGGAAATATTATAAGGAACTTAAAGGAAGACTGCTTGATAGGATGGATTCAATGTAGGAGGTGAGCCTTTGGTCTTTCCCTATTCTCTCCTGGTTGGAATACAAACATGATAGCTGGAATTCCAGCAACCACTTTGGACCATGAGGAAAACCCAAGGATGTACTTAATATGTGAAAAGGCAGGAGGTCTATGATAAATCTGTAGAGCTCTCATACTTGCGTACGTTGCCACCACTAAGCTCTTTCATAAAAGATAGTAAGTCCTTATGTGTTTAAGCCTTTTTCCCTATATTACATGCAGCCAAATCTAATACTAATTTATTCATCCCCAAATCTTCCTTTGTTATCAGCAAGGGAAAATTTCTTTAGCCTCTCTCTGGTGCTGATTCTGACCACCGCCCCCAACCCCTTTTAAGTTTCGATTTCATTTTACCTTTGTTTTGGTGGAAAAGAACATCTAACCACTTCACAGAAATGGGTGCATCATGAGAGGCAAAATTTTTGAGACACAGCATATTAAAAAGATACTTTTATTTTATTCTCCTACTTTATTGGTGGTTTTATGGGGTAAATAAATTTTTTTCTTTTTTAAAATTCCAGTATAATTAACGTACAGTGCCATATTAGTTTCAGGCGTACAATACAGTGATTCAACAAATCTATACACTACTCAGTGTTCATCATCATAGGTGTACTCTAGATCCCCTTCATCTATTTCACCTGTCCCCCAACGCAATTCCTCTCTGGTAACCATCAGTGTGTTCTGTATAGTTGAGAGTCTATAATTGGTTTGTCTCCTTTTTTTTCTGTTTTGTTTCTTAAATTGCACATATGAGTGAAGTCATATGGTTTTTGTCTTTCTCTGAATTATTTCACTTCGCTTTAGGCTCTCCAGATCCATCCATGGTATTGCAAATGGCAAGATTTCCTTCTTCTGTATGGCAAAGTAATATTCCACTCTAACACTTTATCCATTCATCTATTGAAGGACATTTGGGTTTCTTCCTTAGTTTGCCTATTGTAAGTAATACTGCAATAAACAAAGGGGTGCATATATCTTCTCAAATTAGTGTTTTCATATTCCTTGGGTAAATGTCAGGAGTGGAATTACTGCATCATATGGTAAATCTGTTTTTCATTTTTTGAGGAACCTCTATATTTTCCACAGTGGTTGCACCAATCTGTATTTCTACCAACGGTGCACAAGGGTTCCTTTTTAGCCACATTCTTGTCAAGACTTGTTTTTTTGTTTTGTTTTTTACATTTTTAAATTTTATTTATTATTATTCATATTTTATTTTAGACAGAGAGCGGGGGAGAGGGACAGAGGGAGAGAGAGAGAATCTTAGGCAGGCTCCACACTCAGCATGGAGCCTGATGTGGGCTCAATCCCACAACGTGAGCTGAAATCAAGAGCTGGATGCTCAAGTGAATGAGCCAGCCAGGCATTCCTCTTGTGTTTTTTATTTTAACCATTATGACAGGAAGGAGGTGATATTTCACTATAGTTTTGATTTGCATTTTCCTCATGGTTAGTAAGTTGAGCATCTTTTCACATGTCTCTTGGTCATCTGTGTCTTCTTTGGAGGAAGAATGTCTTCTTTCCATTTTTAATTTTTTTTAATGTTTGTTTATTTTTGAGAGAGAGAGACAGAGCACAAGCAGGGGAGGGGCAGAGAGAGAGGGAGACACAGAATCTGAAGCAGGCTCCAGGCTCTGAGCTGTCAGCACAGAGCCTGATGTGGGGCTCAAAGCTATGAACTGTGAGATCACGACCTGAGCTGAAGTCGGATGCATAACCAACTGAGCCACCCAGGTGCCCCAATCCTCTGTCCTTTTTTTAACTGGATTATTTATTCTTTTGGTGTTTAGTTGTATATGTTCAATATATATTGTTAATATATTTTGGATATTAACCCTTTATCAAATATATCACTTGCAAATATCTTCTGCCATTCAGTAGGCGGTCTTTTGTTTTGTTGATTCCCTTTGCTGTGTAGAAGCTTCTTATTCTGATATATCCAATGGTTTGTTTTTGCTTTTGTTTCCATTGCCTTAGGAGACATATCTAGAAAAATCTTGCTACAGCCAATGTCAGAGAAATTACTGCTTGTGCTCTCTTCTAGAATTTTAATGGTTTCAGGTCTCATATTTAGGTACTTAACCCATTTTCAGCTTATTTTTAAGTAAGTAAGTGTAACAAAGTGGCACAGTTTTCCCAATAGCATTTATTGGAGAGAAAAATGTCTTTTTCTTGATGCATATTCTTGCCTCCTTTGTCATGGAGTAACTGACCATATAATCATGGATTTCTGGGCTTTCTATTCTGTTCCACTGCTCTATATGTCTATTTCTGTGTCAGCACTATACTGTTTTGATTACTACAGCTCTCAATTATATCTTGAAATCTGGAATTGTGATACTCCAGTTTTGTTTTGTTCTCCTTCCTCAAGATTGTTTTGGCTCTTCAGGGTCTTCTGTGGTTCCATATAAATTTTAGGATTGTTTGTTGTCGTTCTGTGAAAAACCCTATTGGTATTTTGACAAGAACTGCATTAAATCTGTAGATTGCTTTGGGTTGTATGAGTGTTTAAAAAAATATTTCTTCTCCCAATCCATGAGCATGAATGTCTTTCCATTTCTTTGTGTCATCTTCAATTCTTTCAACAATGTTTTATGAGTACAGTTTTTCACCTCCTTGTTAATTTTATTCCTTATTTTTGGATTTTTGGCACAAAGGTAAATGGCAATATTTTCTTAATTTCTCTTTCTGCTACTTCATTATTAGTGTATAGAAATTCAATGAATTTCTGTATATTGCTTTTGTTTCCTGTGATTTTATTGGATTCATTTATCAGTTCTGGTAGTTTTTTGGTGGAGTCTTTAGGGTTTTCTATATATAATAGGTCCTTATATAAGAGTTAAAGTTTCACTTCTTCCTTATCAATTTGGATGCCTTTTCTTTTTTTCTTTTTTTGTCTGATTTCTGCAGCTAGGATGCCCAGTACTATACTGAATGAAAATGGTGACAGTGGACATCCTTGTCTTTTTCCAGACCTTAGGGGGAAAGCTCTCAGTTTTTCACCAATGAGTATGATGCCAGCTGTGGATTTTTACACATGGCTTTTTTTTTGTTGAGGTATGTTCCCTCTAAACTTACTTTATTGAGGGTCTTTATCATGAATAGATGTGGTACTTTGTCAAATGCTTTTTCTGCATCTATTGAAATGATCATATAGTTTTTAATCCTTCCTCCTGTTGATGTGATGTATCACGTTGAGTGATTTTGTAAATACTGAACTACCCTTGCATCCCAGGAATAAGTCCCACTTGATTGTGGTGAGTGATTTTTTTAATGTATTGTTGGATTTGGTTTACTAATATTTTGTTGAGGATTTTTGTATCTAGGTTCTTTACAGATATTGGCCTGTAGTTCTCGTTTATTGTAATGTCTTTATCAGGTTTGGGTATCAGGGTAATGCTGGCTTCACAGAATGAACTTGGAAGTTCTCCTTTCTCTTCTTATTTTTTGGAGAAGTTTGAGAAGAATGGATATTCACTCTTCTTCAAATATTTGGTAGAATCCACCTATGAAGTCATCTGGTCTTGGACTTTTGTTTATGGGGAGTTTTTGATTACTGATTCAATTTCATTGGTGGTAATCAGCATTCTGAAAGTGTATTCTTGGTTATGGCTTTTTTTTTTTTTTTTTTTTTTTTTTTTTTTTTTTTTTTTTTTTTTTTTTTTTTTTTTTTTTTTTTTAATTTCAGCACTTTGAATATATCATGCTACTCCCTCTGGCCTACAATGTTTTTGCTAAAAACTCATCTCATAGCCTTATGGGGTTTATTTGTATGGGTTTTCTTTCTCTTGCTTCTTCTCAATTCTTATCACTACTTTTTGCCACTTTAATTATTATGTGTCTTGGTGTGGACCTGCTTGGGTTGATTTTGTTGGAGGCTCTCTCTGCCTCCTGGATATGGATGTCTGTTTCCTTACCCAGATTCAGGAAGTTTTCAGCTATTATGTCTTCAAATAAATTTCCTTCCCCTTTTTCTCTCTCTTCTCCTTCTGTTATTCCTATAATGTGAATGTTACTACACTAGATGGTGTCATCGAATTCCTCTATTCTTTTCATTATTCTTTTCTCTTTCTTGAGCTTGATTGCTTCATATCACTGCATCTTCCAGGTTACTGACCCATTCTTCTGATTCCTCTAGTCCACTATTTATTCTCTCTACTACAGTTTTAATTTCTATTATTGAGATCTTCACCTCTTTTTTTTATTTTCTATGTCTCTGTTGAGGGTCTCACTGAAATACTCAAGCCTTTTCTCAAGTCAAATGAGTATGTTTATTTCCATTACTTTAAA